AAAAAAATTTTTGAACTCTAAGTTGGTTGCAAGGGTTCCCAAATCCAATTAACTTTACATTAGGTCACACTTTCTTCATCGCAATCTGGTTACTTGCTTTCCTGCCCTCTTTTAAGACAAATTTTGCTCCTAGTGCCACCTAAAACTATTCAAAGAGTTCCAGGCTGTTCTTGATTTACTTGGTAAGTTATGGTATACCAAGGCTGCGGGGCAGAGGAGAGGAGAGGGTCAGCACATTCAAATTAGTGGTGCTACTGAAAATGACTCATGCGCCTTGGAAATTTAAAGGAAAAATACGAAAAATTACAGATGTAGGCAACTGCTTGAAACCGATTCAAGCTCTTTCAAGAAGATTCAGCTCTTTCAAGTCCATCCTGAAAGCCCTTTCAGGAAGATACGACAAATGCGAAAAAGTTTCTGCTGAGTCAGCAAAGCCAAACAAATCAGCTTAGCGCTAAATCAACTCGAAGTTCTGCAAGCGGTAAACTGCGCTCCTCCGATCTTCAGCTTAGTCGATCACTTTTGATTGTTACGAGGTAACTGTTGAATATATTGCACGGGTCGGGTTTTTTTTGATCCAATCCTTGCCAAACATGTTGTTCAAAAATCTCCCGGGCTTAGCGTTCCGCAGAGTCTTAGACTCATTCGTCCTCCAAACATATAAATCAAAAGCAATTTGTCGGCGACACAAGCTCAGAAGTTTGAAATCTGATTCTGCATCATCCATTCCGCTTTGTGGGGAGTGAATCAAAACTTTAAAATTTCGAGTTTTCCTGATTTCTATGGCTCCCTGTATGAAAACGAACGTTATCCAGGCCACATGGTCAAAGCTTCAGCAATTCTATGTGGTGATGCTTTCACCTCCAAGTGGTTGGGACTGGAAGCTTCGTACTGTTGTATCAAGGTCTCAGGCGACAGGGCCTGTAGACCGTCTTGAGATCATTTCGCACGCTCAAGTCGGCCAGCATGTTATTAACGGTCCGATGCATAAAATTAACTTCAATTTGTCTGACAGTAAGTTGAACAAAAGCAAAGAAACTATTTTAATGCTGTTTATGATGATTTATTCGGCAAAATAAGTCCTCGAAATTTACATATAGAGCCTTTGATTTTTCACTTTCGAGATTGATGTGAATCTGAGCCTGAGATCAACTATCAGGACAAAAAAGAACTGAAGGATGTTTTAGAATTTGTGGCATCGTACGTGGGTCAAGATCATCTCCCTCCAGAATTACAAATTCAGCAATGCCTGAATTTAATAATTCGGACAGAATTACCGTAATTCGCTTCTAGAAAAAAGCATAAAATGAAAAACGGGTATGTTGGATTTGATGAAATCATAAATCAAATGCTGCCTGGAAAATGTGGAATGCCGTTTTGATCCAGGTTTGCCACCGGTGCGCCAATGAATAAACTGAGTGTGACTTGAATTGGTTTCATTATAATTTTATTTGTTTCAGCACGTTTGTTTGTCTGACAGTACCTAACTACGCATTC